GGAATTACAGTTACTAAATTATGAAGTTTAAATTCCTTCTTCCAACCAATATCTATGTTATTGACTTATAGTTTTTTCCCCCATCACCTTTTTATTCTGTTGTGCCTAACTCTCAGAATTATCAATTTTAGGGGAAAGTAATGAGCATAGATGCACTGTCCTTTTGTGGGGGTGAAAGGAAAGAAAGCAATTTCATATAGTGCCTTCTATGTGCTAGCCACCATGCTAAGCACTTTGAAAAATATGATCTCATTTGATGTTCACAACAAAGCTGTGAGGTAGATACTACTATTACTCACATTTTGCAGTTGAAAAAACTCAGGTAAATGGAGGTTGTAACCTGCCCTGGGTCAAACAGCTAGTAATCATCTCAAGCTAGATTTGAACTCTGGTCTTTCTGACTCCAGGCCCAACTCTCTACCCACTGCACCATCAGCACCACTTGCTACCATTTTTCGACGTAACAATTCATTCAATCCAATTCTATCCTCTGACTTTTCCATAATCTTTTCTTTCCAGTTTTCCATGCAATCTTCACCCTGGGTCCATGCATGTACACCCTGCTATATGCTGATTGCCCTGAAGACTTCTGATTTCCTTTGTCCAAAACTAGGATGCTGTATTAGGAAGTACAACATTCTCTTAGAGGAAATGGTCACCCCATACACCAAATCCCTGCAGGCCTGCTCCTCCATTGTCACTTCTATTTCGTAAAATTCTGCTTTCATCTTTATCTTCTGATGTACTTTTGGAAAGAAATATTTTAAAGGGATCTCTTCCCCCCCCCCTTTTTTTAACACAATAACGTGTCTTATTCATTTTAGATTTTTCTATTATTAGTCTATGAAAATGGAGTAATTCATTTCATTGTGTTTTTGCTTTCCTTAGTAGTGGTATTTATTTACCTACCCTAAGTTTCTGTTGTTTAAAATTTTTGCAAGTCAAATAATCTGCTTGCTTTTTTTTTTGCAAGAATGCTTCAAATCCTTTTTTTATTTATTTATTAGATCAATCTTTCATTGAGCATTCATCTTTTTCATTAATAGGATCACTTTCTCAGGGTATATCATTATGGGTTGTATCTGAAGCTTCTTTGCTTTTTCTGAATATATTATTCCAATCCCTTCTGAATTTTTTGGTGAATGTGCAATAAACTTGTGTCATTCAAATTTCCTTTCTTTTATATTTGAAGGTCTTTTTCCTGGTCCCATGACGAATTTATTGTTTGTCATTGGAATTGTAAGATTTGCTTAGTATGTGTTTTGGACTTTGAAGCATAAGATTTGTTTATTTTTGTTTTTGTTTTTTTTCTGCTGGCAATCCGTGGGTTCTTTTGAATGATACTTTGTTTGCTATATTATGAAGTTCTGGGCAGTTTTCCTGTATTATTATATTATAGTGTTCAGGGGTTTTTTTATTTGTCACATTCTGCTAGGGGGCCTATGATTCTTAAGTAGTCTCTATGCATCAAATACAGATTTGATCAGTTCATTTGGCATCTATGGTGATTAGGTGTTCCTTTAGCATTACTACTTTTTGTCTTCTTCCAGATTATTCTTTTCTTTAGTGTATTTGTATTCCCAATATATTTTTTGATCTTTCATTTATTTAGACATTTTGGAGTTATCACCATGCAGTCAAGTTTTACCATTCTGTTATTTTTTTCTGCTGTTTAGGCCATAAATTCTGACATCTGACTTTTAATTTCTCTCAAGATTCTGATTTGTTTCTTGAACCATTCTGGAACATTCTACTGCAGTTTCATGATATCTTGGGAATCTACAGGGTTATGTGCTTCATCACATATTGGTTCAATTTCCTTTGTCTTGAAATATTTATTTAGAGATTTGTAATCTTTTGGATTTTTTGGCAATCACCTCTAATTTCATTATCCTCTCTGCTGATTTATCTGTTTGTGCACTAAGGTTCTTAACTGAATTTTCTTCCTCCTAAAATCTCTGTTGCTTTTAGCCTTTCCCCCTAATTGTTCCCTTGCTGGTCCTTTTCTGATAGCTCTCTCTATGATAGTTGGTTTACTCCTGTAGCTGGACTTCAAGTTTGTCTCAGGTTTCTTCCACGTCCTTTAATTCACTTTTCCCTGTCCTGGGTCCTTAACCTTCTGGTTGTACATCATCGGCCCCAGATAGATTCAAATCTCTTTTCCCTCAGTCTGGTACAGTCTCACATGTTAGACTCCTATCTCAATTTCCTCTATTCTTTGATTATATGGCCAGCCTGAGTAAGTGTCTGTTACTTTTTGGAAGATTACAGGGTGGCAGAATGGATATTCTAGGAAGAGTTTCTGCCACCTTGGAGTTCTCTCTCAGAAGGATATTGTCGGTAGAAAGGAAGTATGAAGTGCCACCACCAACCCACATTCATTCCCTTCCTCTGGTTGTTTAGCAGAATTGAGGTCCACTGCTTTTTGCAACAGGATCCTGGGGGAAAGGCAATGGCAACATGTGTCAACAGAGTCTGCAACAAGAAAGAAATCCCTGAGAAGGTCCCAAAACATATGATCATGGGTTATTTCATAAACTCTGCTGTGGTTTAGATTCAGGTAGGGAATAGGGTGTTAACTGAAGAGTTACAGATTAGTATTCTTCATTGTTAATTCATAAGGCTATTTCTTTGTTGGCCTTCTTGTCTTCTTTCTTTATGGAAACAGTTATAATTGCTTTACCTTTGGCATATAATTCCTCATTTATTTGTCTTTGTAAGTTAGCCAGGACTGGAAAAATAGCTTTCTAGTTTCCTGATAACATGACCTGGCCCTGAATAAACATTCAATGTATCTCTCAGTTCTTTTATAACTCTAAACAGATATCTCAATTGCTCACTTCTGAAATTTAAAGTTTCTCTCTAAGGTTGCAACAGGATACCAGAAGGAAAACAATAGCTGATCCTTTTTCTGAACAAAGATGACATTCTTTCATTATCAACAGGAGAGACAGTACTTGAGCTATTTCTTTGATAAAAGAGATAAGCAACACAGAGCCATCCACACCCTTTTGCTCTCTATGGTGAAGGACCCATATTTGCAAGATGGCTATTTGGCTTAGGTTAGGGTTTCTGTGGTTATAGACCAGAATGAAGCTAACTTGCCCACATGTATATCACACCTATCATTGTATTAGCATGATCTGAAGCAACCATCATTGTACAGTACATTGTTGACATATATTCATATATATCTGTTGAATCACACTTTCAAATTGATCAATCTTGTTATAATTAGTCTTTTCACCTCCAGAATTACTCCAGCTATGCTATTGTGAGGGTACTGCTTCCCTTGCCAAACACAGATGTAAAGAGTACTTTAGAGCTATACCCTGTGTTATCTCATGTAGCCTAATCTAAAGTTAGTACTCATTAATAGCCAAAGGTTAGCTCCCCAACAACTTTCTGTTACCTGTGGAGAAATAGAGCATGACTACCAAAGGAAGCTTTCTCACACAAATGAGAAATCATTCCCTGGACTTCTTCTGAATGATTAGGTTCAGATGGAGACAATCTTACAAATGGACAACCAGGGTCAGGATCCCAACACTGTCAGCAAAGGCTTCATTGGGTCAAATGATCTCTTCAGTTGCCTAACTATGAAATGCCCTAGAGATTCATGTAAACATAAAACAAAACAAAACAAAATCCTGCCTTGCAAAAGAGGATCAATGAAACATTTAACAAAATACAAAGAAGGAAATTCCAAAGGAGACAGGGATAAGCAAGGTAATTGTTACTGTTCTGTTAAACATACTACACTCTAAAACATAATGGTTTGGATATTCATATAAATTCATTTATGTTCTTTGTACAATGATGCAATGTTCATTTTGTTTGATATTTGTCAGGCTTATAATATTTTTTCTTTTTTTTCCTTTTTTTTTTCTTTTTTTTTTTTTTGCCTTTTCTTAGTAGAGGCAAGTGGCCAAAATGTGATCGCCATAAGCTTATGCCTACTGTTGGTTCTTATAGGTCTGTTGTGTTTATGTGTGTCAACTGATGAGTATCTATACCAGCTATATGGCTAAACTTGCTTCTTACACCTATATGTTTTCATGATTTTTCTTCTGAAAATATTTGATAACTGTCATTACCAGTTGTACTTGCAGGATAGATGGGTCAAGTAAGGTAGTAGCTTTGGTTGGTTTTCAGTCATACATCAGCAACAGATATTATCTGATAGTTTCTGTGCTTTTTATTACTATAGAAATATGGATTTCCCAGTCCCTCAGGAAATCATACCTTTTCTTCTCTCCTTCAAACTCTACCCATTCAGGCTTCTCCTCAACACAATGGTGGCAGTACAGTACAATGGAAAGAATGCTGGCTTTGGAGTTGGATGACTTCGGAAGTTTTTTTTTCCCCCTCAGTTATGCCACTTATTACTTGTGTGACCTTGGACAAATCATTTAACCTCTCAGTTAACTCAGTTTTGTTATCTGCAAAATGAGGGTGTTGTATTAAGTGGCCTTTGGGATCTCTTTCAACTCTGCGTCTATGTTCCTATGACCTTTAAGGTCTCTTTCAATTCTATACCTGTGATCTCACAAAGACCATCCAATGAGAAGAAGTCATCAGCAGTTCAGAATCTCATGTACTGCCAAATAGCTAGCAGTTAGATAGTGCTTTAATTGCATATATTATCCCAGCTTATCATCACAATAACCTGGGATTTAGGAGTCATCATTATCCAAATCTTATAGATGAAGAAACTAAGGTGGACAGAGGTTAAGTGACTTGTCCAGGATCATACAACTAGCAAATTGCTAAGGTCAAATTTGAGCTCAGGACTTCCAGACTCTGGGTCTAACATGCTGTCTTCTATGATACCTAGATGCCAATTCTGTTTGACACTGGAGAAAATATTAATATATCAATAGCAATAAAGTTAGGTTATATTCTAGAGAAGTACCAATAAAACTATGCTATAAACATGAAAATCATCACATATTATATAGATGCAACTCTCCAAATGACCAAAAAAAAAAGCCACTCACCTCAAATTTCTGCCGGAACTCTTCATTGCCTTCTTCTCCTTCAGGAGGAACTGGAACATTAAAATACTCTCCTTCCTCTTGACTTAGTAATTTAAACCTAGAGAGAGACAAGATAGAGTCAGAGTTAATAAAATGGCTCTCCTTTATCAGGTGGTTTCAACAATATTTATATTTTTCTCCTAAAATCAACATATGTTTAATATTATTTCTGTGACCTTTTCTTGGTACTTTCTACCAAAGTTAAAAAAAAATAGCTCTTAGCTCACAGAAAAGCTTAGCTCACATTTATAAAGCACTATAATGTCTATAAAATTCTTTCCTCCAAATAATACCATCAGTAAAGCTGTATCCACATTTTACAGATTAGAAATATAAGGTAGGCAGCTAGGTGGCATAGTGGATAGAGCACCAACCTTGGAGTCAGGAGGACCTGAGCTTAAATCTGGCCTCAGACACATAACACTCACTAGCTGTGTGACCCTGGGCAAGTCACTTAACTCCAATTGCCTCGCCAAAAAAAAAAAAAAATAAGGTTCACTAAAGTGAATCAAATGATACAAAGTCATACAGCTAGTAATAACTCACATTGGCACAAGACTTGACAGTTCATAAAGAACTTTCTTCAGAACCCTGTGAGGTATGTGTTACAGTATTACTGAGAAACCTGGTGAACTGACTTGCCTAGGGTCATTGAACAAGGAGTAATGTCATTACCCTGGCTAGAGAGAGAGAATTTAAGAGCTATGAGTTGTCAGCATGCTAGCAAAGACTAGTACCCAGCTGCTTATATCAGAGCTGGAGTGGACCACCATTAAATACATATTGGAATAACAAGAAATAAGGAATTAAAGAAAAATTACAGAATACACAATTCTGTGAAGCCATGTTGCCATTTCCATTGCTGTCAGAGAATGACTTTGACTCAAGTGAGCCTCTGAGGCACAGGAAAGTCATGGGTACATTGCCATAATTCCTGAAAGACTTTGATGAAGATGCATCTCTGGGTGTATCCCCTATGATACCAATCCCTGGGGAAGTGACTGGAGGGAATGATGTATGTGATTATATTTTCCCTGTGATTCTAAGGAATCTTAGACACTGTGGTGATGTCTAGTACTTCCTCAATGGCCAAGGGTCAGCCTTCTACTAGCTAAATGTGTAATAATAAGTCCTTCTTTAGTTAGACTTATTGCATCTCAGATACAGACCCATCCCATCAATCTCAGGGATGACACAACAGGCACCATGGATCTGGCTTCTTTTCCTTTTCCTCCTATCTTACAAACTGTTCACAGGTTAAAGGAACAGCTGTATGGACAGCAAAGAGTGATTACCAAGGGGGTGTTACAAGACTGGCCCATTCATATCACTATAACTGCATCCCCGGGTCAGTAAGTTGCTGTAACCATACCTCATCAGCCCCCCCCCCCCCACCCAGAGCATGCTGCCATGTGGTCATGAATATATTTGGTCCATGTGAATTGGCATTCAAGACATACTCTCACCTCTTTATAACAAATCAAACATGGGGAGCCTTTTTGAGAAGGAAAATTAGGAAAAAGTACCTACAATTAGGCAGTTGCCTTGATAGAAATAGAGAGCCCCCATAGGGAGATTATAGTCACTTTAAGGGATAGTCTTTAGTGGTGTTTGGGACCATAGATGGAAATGTAACGCAATTGCAGAAAGATCTGGATTAAAATTGTAGACTTTTATATAGTGCTTTAAGGTTTACAAAGCACCTTATATGGATTATTTTGTTTGATATAACAAGGGGACCAGACAGTAGATGCCTATAATCAATGAGTTTCAGCAATTATATTCAGTTGCAGATTGGGATGAAGAAATAATTGATAAGTTATTGAACAAAGAGCTAAAATACTGAATTTCAGGGCTTTGAGCTCCCATATACTTGGTTAGAGTAATAGATCTTAATGTAACAGATAGTGACTGACTGGACAAAAAAATAGAGGAGAATTTGCAGTCAGGACTCTAGCAAAAAAAAAAAGCCATCAAGGAATACAAGAGTCCCAAACTAGTAGAATTAAAGACAAGTGTATGCTGGGATCCATAATCTCCAAAGGTATGAGAGTTCCAAAATGATCAAAGTCTTTGTTTTTGTTTCAATGCCGCTGACCACAGATATCAACAATGCTAGATAAGCACAGCCTGCTAATGCTTTGAGATTTGAGATCAGGTAGGAGTAAGATGGGGATTTCTGGAACTGGGATGGGATGGGATGGGTTAGCATAGGATAGGATAGGATAGATAGGATAGTATTTCAAGTCAATTCAATATATATTAGATAGTGTTTTTTAGAACATATCTACGGAAGAATTTTGTTTTTTGAAAATCCAGTCAATCTTTCAACTGAGTTTTTTTTTTCTTTTTCTACACTATTCTAAATCACCACCAATGTGAAAGCATCTGGAAGTTTGGCATCATGAAGGTCACAATCTGGATAACTGACAGTTCCAGTTAATCCTGTCATGAAACGGAACCTCCTGGAGGGTAAAACGTCCAGATGTGCAGCCCTGGGTGGCTCAAAAATCCTTATGGCTGATTCAGTTTTGTACTTTTTCTCCAAATGTTTTGTTGACATATAATGAAGAGAGAGAAAGATTGAATCATATGAGTTTACTTGGTAGACAAGCTGGGCTTAGGAAGGAAAAAAAATAAGCATCTAATTTTTTTCTAGATTCAGGAAAGGCTCAAGGGAAATGGGGGAAATCAATTAAAAGAGAGAGCTATCTTTTCAGGAATGTTAAATGACTAACAGGGCAGCGGGGTAGGACAGTGGACAGAGCACAAGGCATGGAGTCAGGAAGACCTGAGTTCAAATCCAGACCCTGGACAAGTCACTTAACCCTGTTTGCCTCAGTTTCCCCATTTGTAAAATGAGCTGGAGAAGGAAATGGCAAACTACTCCAGCATCCTTGCCAAGAAAACTCCAAATGGGGTCACACAGAGTTGGACATAACTGACAACTGTATAACAAATGACTAAACACTCTTAAAAGTTTTATGAAGTCAATATAACAGTGACCATAAGAAATCTGACTAAAATCTCAGGTTTTCAGCATGGATCACATAAGGAGATGGTCTCCACTCTTCCTAATATGTATATTTTCACCTCTTTCCTTCATATTGTCCCTTTCTCACTCACAGAATATTAGTTGAAATAAATGTTCTCTCTGTCTCACTTGCCCCCATTTCCTTCTCTCTGTATTTTCCTTTCTCCTCCTTCCTCTGCCCTCTCTTCTCTCTGCCCCTCTTACTTATATGTAATCTTCAAATTTGAATCAACTCTTCATCTCCTTATCTTGCTCCCTGTTTCCCTGTCTTTTTTCCCTCCCTCTCCCCCAATCAAATGTCACATTGAGATCAACTCTCTTTCTCTCCTGTGCTTTTTTTCCTCTTATCCTGCCCACCTCTGTTTATGTTATATGACTCTGAGCAGAACAACCCCAGGACATGGCCACTCAGGTCTTAGGTAAACCAAAACCTTGATACAATAGGCTTGGGTAAACCAAAACCTTGATACAATAGGAATAATCCACAGCTGGGTACTTGAGCAAAGGCTTAGCAAACCTGATAAAAGAATATCTAAAAATCACATTAATTGGAAACCATAGTATGAGCCAATGCTAATAGAAACTGCAACAAGAGTTCAGAGCATTTCAACAGAACTCACTGATGACAGGACTCATCATCTCATCACCATTATCCATCATCATTCCACATTTCTGTGACAGTTTACATTTTATAAAGCATTTTCCTAAAAACAACCCTGTGAGGTAGGCAGAACGGGTATTATTGTCTCTCTTCTATGGATGAAGAAACTGAAGCTTAGAGAGAAAAAGAAGTTTTGTCCAAGGCCACATTCTATTCTTGATCAACTTGGGTAACAGACCCATTGTCAAGGTGTTTCGTTTGATAGACGAGGAATGTGCTACTATTTTTGTTTTATCACATCCGATATATTGATTGGCTCTATCTACCAAGATATGAGCAAACTGATTTACTTGCAGAACGTTTGTACTCACTTTATACAACAGATGTGTTTGTGAGAAGTTGAATGTAAATCATTTGTCAAAAAAATCAACTTCTCTTTCAAACTAGAGGAGCTGGCTATTAAAAAGAATTTATTTGTAAAGTGAATTCTTACAAAAATCACTCCCTAATTTATCCTCTAGGGCAATTAGGTGGTAGAGTGGATAGATTGTTGGGTCTGGAGTCAAGAAAACTCAACTTCCTGAGTTCAAATCTGGCCTCAGGCACTTACTAGCTGTGTGACTCTTAATAGCAAGTCACTTAACATAGTTTGCCTCAGTTTCCTCCCCTGTAAAAATGAGCTGAAGAAGAAAATAGCGGGGCAGCTAGGTGGCGCAGTGGATAGAGCACCAGCCCTGAAGTCAGGAGGACCTGAGTTCAAATCCAGCCTTAGACCAAACACTTGATGCTTACTAGCTGTGTGACTCTGGGCAAGTCACTTAACCCCAATTGCAAAAAAAAAAAAAAAAAGAAGGAAATAGCAAGCTACTCCAATATCTTTGCTGAGAAAACCTCAAATGGGGTCATAAAGAGTCAGATACAACTGAAAAAAATGACTGAAACAACAACAAATTGATCCTCTTTGTTAAATTCAGATATTTACATGATAGGTTTGCTTAAAACAAGGTACTTCCTTCTCTATCATTCTCAGTACCATGGATAAATGGAAATGGTACATAGGCAAGGCTATGCTATGACAGTATTTGAGGAATTTTAAATTTGTGAGAAGCAAAGTTGATGGATCTTTAGAAATGTGGTAGACTAATGATGACTGGAAGAACAATGTCAGGGCAACACCTTTGAATAGAAAGGGGAATCTGCAAATGGAGTCCAGAGGAGGATGGGAAGAGTCCTAATGCGTTCTTTTCTCTTTGTTACAATAGGGGCTGGCTATGTGGCCAGGCAAAGTTAATTCAAAAATATACAATGGTGCTGTGGCTAGGAAAGAATTATTTTAGAACAATCCCTTGTTCTATAATTTAACAATTATCTGCTCTGATTCTGTTTAGGGCTTTAAAAAAAAAAAGACCATTTGAGGAACCCA